AAGGGGTGCGGGAGGTGTTTGAGATGGCCACCAGGGCGGCGCTTCAGGTTCGCAAGCGCAAGAAGAGGAGCGGCTGCTTGCTCTTATGAGCCCACACTACTATTACTACACACTTCTGCCAACGGTTGACCCAGTGCACCAGGAAAAAAAAACCTTTACCAAACCAACGTCATCGCCGTACTGTATTACGCATTTCACGCAAGCAAGATGTGCGCGAGAGAGACTGACAAACCTGTTTATAGAGAAACCAACCCACCTGTGCTCTTAAAGTTTCTGTATGCACACAGACCTGTTCTGCCATCTCTGACTTTTCCTTTCTTCTACCAGCATATCTTCCTCTGTGTGGGAGAAAGATTGATTTGATTTTGTATGTATTTGTACAGAAATCTTAGTCTCCTCTTTCTCTCTCATTTTCTTTCCTATCTCTTTCTTGCTCTTTCCTCATTCCATGTTATATTCAAACATTGCTTCTTTATGAATTGTTTACTTATTTGGGCTGAAGCCTGACTGGCAAATATCTGCTACGTTTGGAAAATGATCAAGAATACATTTATTATTCATTCAAACCTCTTGGCATCATTGTGTCTTAGTCTGTGTGGTATTAGAAGTAACTGTGGGCCACTGTAAGTTTTAAACCAGTGTGTTTTTTGCCAGGGGAACAAGGGAAACTGCTCTCCAGTCAGCAGCCAGAGGTAACTCGAATGAACAGCAAAGATGAGGCTCAGTGGGGTCAAATTGCGTTAGCACGGAGTGCTAACATAATTAGCTCATTCAGCCTGTCACTGTCTACTCCTTGCTGTGTGTGCACGCGAGATGAGTCTGTCACTCTCCATACCTTGATGAAAATACCTCACTTGCAGTTATTCCTGTTCTGCTGGGCCTCAGGGCCAGGAGCAGCAACCAGTCGTGAATCTTGCGGACGTGGCAGATTTGCCTGCATTAATTTCCCTTAACGTTACTGCTTGAACAGTTGGGTAGAGCACAATATGTACAGTTTACTCCAATGGCAATATGACTGTTCCAGCTCTTCTTCTGACTCTTCCTCTACTTTCTCCTGGCTGAGCTCTCTGTAATATCATTGGCTAAAGCCTCTCTAGAGTTTTAGTGCTGATACTGTGGTTTTGATCTGATCTTAGCTCTTGCAATGTAGTAAAGTAGCTGAATTCTTGTCTAGAGAGCTAATTTGGGGGTTTAATTAGAATTCCATTGTGTCTAGTTAGTAAAAATTACAGCTAAAGGGGAATTCCACTGATTTCTCAAAATTTCTCTGTATTTCAGTTGTTAAAATATAGTGGAGAGTGGCATGATGTGAAATGGTTAATTATAAAGAAACCTTCTGACTAAGATTTCTTTACACTGGTGTTGATAGGAGCCATAGGTTGTAATGTATACAGCACAAATTTACCCATTTAATTTACTATCCAAAATGACCAGACCTTTTTATATGTCATGATGAAAATGATAAAGTAGATGAAAATCTGAAAAAAAAAAGTTTTCCTCTCAAACAATGTTTCAGGCATCAGACACCATATTTATAACCACTATATGTGATAACTTTCTGTGAGGGAGCTTTTAGAGGCATTAAACACTTTTGAATTCTGGTTCCTATCAGCACCACTATGAACAATTCTGAACAATTTTCTCTAGAATGTCACATTTCACATCAAACCAATCTGAACTAGTAAGTTTACATCTTAACAGTTGAATTAAACTTGGAAAAATCAGTGAAATCCTCCTTCAAACTTACCTTTTGATTCTGTTTAACCCCTTAAACCCCAGTGGCCCATGTAGCAGCCTCTGCTACTTGCTAACTATTAGCTTCATAATAGCAATAATGAATAATGAATTCTAAGTCTTAAAAAAGAATTCCTCTAATTTTTGAAAATCTTTGCATAACTGATGATTAACATGTAAACAGAGTAATTCAGAGTGGTTGGATGTGAAATGCTCCATTCTAGGGAAACTTGTCAAGTCAGGATTGTTCACAGTGGTGATAAGAACCAGACGTCTACAGAGTTTGTGTTGCGAGGGCAAACAGTCCCCGAAGAAAATGTATTTTTTCAGATTTACCACTATTTTATCATTACATATTAAAACTCAAGACATGTTTAAATTCACTGGTGGTTTTGGATAGTAAATAAAATGGCTAGATTTACATAGTAAACATCACGATTCCTGGTTCCTATCACCATCACTGCAACCATTTCATTAACCATTTCACATCAAACCACTCTGAATGATTTTATTTACATCTGAATGATTTAATTCTGCAGAAAATTTAAACACTGGTGGGATTCCCCTTTAACATTAGCAACTGCAGTGCATATGCTCAGCTCAGTCCTGCACTCACTTGTAGTGCTCTCAGCCACCACAATGGGAAAACAAAACCAACCATAATGCTAACTAGAATAAGCAAGAGCCAGAGTTGTGAATCCAGTCATGAGTGGTAGACAGCAATGATGACAGTCATGCAATATGTATCTGATAAAATGCACAGAGGCAAAGTACAGGGGTAGAAAAGGTACTTTAATGAAAGTAAGGGTCACTTGTTGAAATCTTAATTTAAAGTGGGAGTACGTAGTCAAAAATATACCATCAAGGCATAGTAAAAAGTTGTATAGTTTTAATGAGTTTTTAATACTCTGCATACCCCGAACTAGCAAGTCTTCCTTGTAATTAAATGCAAAAAAAATTATACATTTATAAGTAATATTTATAGTTTAATAAAACATAAATACATTAAAATGTGTGGCAACTCAATTCTGAAGGTATAAATGGAAATGTAATTGAGTGAAAGTAGTTATTCATTTTCAGTAATACTCCACCCTTGGCTGTCAATTTAAAGGGGAATTCCATCATTTTTTTTAAAGTTCTGCATAATTCAGTTGTTGAGATTGTAAACTATGTCATTCAGAGTGTTTTGATGTAAAGTGGTTCATTGTAGCGAAACTTACTGACTTGAGATTTCTTTACAGTGGTGGTGATAGGAAGAGGTCACAACGTCTACAAGACAAATATAGCCATTTTATTTACTTTCCAAAATATACCTACACGTCTTCCAAGTTTAATATATAATGTTGATGAGGGAAAAATAATGGTAAATCTGAAAATAGAAACAACCCTATATAAATTCTGAACACTATATTTACTACTATGAAAGTACAACAACTTGATACATATATTACTTTTAAAAATATGTTTACTTTTAAACAAGTAATGTTTACTGCACATAAATATGGCTGATTTCAGCTTATCCTGATGCGGGGAAGGGGTCTAATACATCTGTGAATGACTTGGTAGGATAATGAATGTCTTAAATTAGAAGACGAATTTCAGGCCCCCATTTTTTCTGAATAAATAGTACCTACTAAGTTGTTGTCCACAGGGTAAAAAATAAAAAATCCAAGAGACGCATACGGTAAACTGACCAAAATGTTTGCACACAAACACCTGAACGCTGTCTAGCCTATCAAAAGTTTTCTTCTGTGTGTGGACAACAGTGTAGTCATGACTAATTCCCAAGCAAACAGAACCATGGAAGGTGAGCGATACATAAACACACTACATACATCTGCTTGTGTGTATACAGACAGATGTCACTAACCAGTGGCAGATGAGGGGATGTTCACAGGATGCAAAGCTCCTCCGGTTCCTCTGTTCATTGTTAGCAGACATGAGGTCATCCCTGGAGCACATAATGAAACTGAAATAAGAGGAGGTATAAAACCCCATCAGACGACCCGTGAGACCAGAGACAGATGATGCCCTGTACTGCCCCTCATGTTCACATCTGCATTGTTGTGGTCAACTCAGCTGAGCTGTCCCCTTACATGATGTGGTACATTTTCTTTGACAAAGACGTACAGCATTTTCACCGCTAGAGGGCAACAGAGCTCCTCTATAAAGTGCAAGGAAAATACTTTGACCCATGTGCAATACTGAGACTTCTATTACAGCGTTTGTAGAACTTTTCTTATATTCCCTCCAAAATGTCAAAGTATGTTTTATCCGTGTTTAATCCCCCAGTTCTGGTCATTTTGGTATTTTTCTAGAATAAATATAGTTTCTTTTATCTAAGGCTTACTGGTAAACCCCAGACTAGGCTTAAGAACACATGATAATCATCTTCACTGAGTTTTAGGTGTATTTATATTTGTATACTATTATAACCAGACCTGGCTGACCATGGAAAGTAACTAGGCTAAAATAAAGACACAGAATTCACTCACACACATGTGATTTCAAAGTTATAGTTAGATATTTGACACAATCTGACCTTCCACCTTGGGCTACTATCCACTCGCCAACACAGGAGCAACACCTCCCAGACACAACTGTATATTTTATTAAATGGGAATATTATTTTTCCTGCATACCTCACTTCGTTCACTGCTACACAGATCTTTTCTTTGACTACTTAGATCATGTGTTCTGATTGGCTATGTGGCCTTCGATCTGACTGGCAAGATCCTGCATCCTGATTGGATTCTTGGATCTTCCAATCTTACTGAATAAATGAATTGTGCTCTGATTAGCTACTTCGGTCCTGCAATCTGACTGGTTAGTTGAATCCTGCATCCTGTTTGGCTACAGTGTAAAGGTCCTTGTGCAGGGATATGAAGATATCAATATGCATGATGTCAGATGCATGAATTATGGAATTGAACATAGCTCAGTGTTTGATACATCAATTTGGGCATTTAAAAACTTATATGACAAGAAAGCACATGTCTGCAGGAAAGATGCTAGATTTAGCTAGTGCTAAATCTGATTACTGCTGATGAAAAGTGGAACGTAGGAATTTCTAGTCTTGAAATATGAAAAAATAGACTAAGCTAATGCATTTAAATCATAATCTTAAGTCACTTATAGTCATAGCTGTGACCAGAATGGTTTCAGTTATTGTCAGCATGATGATATCTGAAATAAACAATAAGCAAATCTTACAGTCATCCAGCCAAAACTGATTTTAAAAAGTGCTTTATTTTAGGTTATATTAGTATTATTAGTAATATATATTAACAATGTTGCTTTGGTAACCATTTACATATTACAATGTGTACAGTTATATACAAAAGATCTATAAAGCAAACACCTGCATGCATAAAAATACTACATGTTCATATGGAAAATAATATCCATGTGTAGAAATCTTGAATGTGGACAGTTGGCAGTCTAGTTTATTCCTAATGAAGCAGGTTTTCTAGACATTAATTCAGCAAAACGAAATCCACATTGAAATCTTCTTCAGTCTAGGTTAAGGCTTATTCTTTGTCTGTAAAATCAGTCCTTCCTGAATGAAAAAGCGGTTATCTTCTGTCAGCTTTTCCATCTTACTTTTAATTAAGGCACAGGAGGTACAGAGCAGCAAGACAAAAGCACACAGAACAGCAGATGAGAGGATTTCTGATAAACTGAGTCACTCCATTATCTGCCTGCAATTAAATATTATTCTTGCAAAGTGAGGCACATTTAGAAATATCATTTAGTCAGTGTGATTCTAACCCTAGTAGAAAAGGCTTCCAGTGTTTCTCCAGCATAAAACTACCATAAGCTTTTTCTCAGTCCCCTATTGCCAATATTACAGCAACTCACATGCAATGTCCATATCTGAAATGTTCAGGTTCCTTTGGTCCTAATGTTCTTTTGGCTTGCCTGAACAAATATTTCAAATTTGCAAAAACGATATGGATAAAAATGGGGTGTTATTGCTTAATTTTTCATGTTAAATCTAATCCTTTGGTCATACAGCATTGCTGAGTTTAACTAAATAGTAGAAAACCCAAATATGTGAATTAAGTATGAAAATGACATAACATGTAATTGGTACTGTTTTTCCATAATCTATATACATTATTTTACAAGTGCTATGGGCTACGGTGCTGTGAAAAAGTATTTGCCCCTTCCCAATTTCTTCTGTTTTTGCATATTTGGCACACTTGAATGTTTCAGATCATCAAACGACTTTTAATATTAGACGAAGATAACCCAAGTAAACACAAAATGCTGTTTTCAAATGATGGTTTCATTTGTTGAAGAAAAAATGCTGTTTAACCCTACCTGGCCCAATGTGAAAAAGTAATCACCCCCTTAGCTACTAAATCAACCAGTTAACTAAATTCAGCTGATTTTTGTGTTCAGTGTCACTAGCCACACCCAGACATGATTACTGCCAGTCCTGCTGAATCTAAACATCACTTAAATACAGCCTGTCTGGCAGTGTGAAGCAGGCTACAAGGTCTCAAAAAGCAGCACATGATGCCACATTCTAAAGAGGTTCAAATACAGATACGAAACAAAGTCATTGAAATCTATCAGTTACAGTTGGACACAGTTACAAAGCCATTGTTAAGGTTCAGAGACTTCAGCAAACCACAGTGAGAGCCATTATATACATATGGAGAAAACCTGGAACAGTGAGTGGACAGGAGTAGCTGGCCTACCAAAACTTTACCAAGAGCTCAACGACAACACATCCAGGAAGTCACAAAAGAACCCAGGTTAACATCTAAAGAACTGCATGCCTCACTTGCCTCAGTTCGGGTCAGTCAGATTCCGCAATAAGGAAGATACTGGTGACCAAAAGGAACACAAAAGCCCATCTCACATTTGCCAAAAATCATCTAGAAGACCCCCTAGACTTTTGGGATAGTTCGGGTCTGTATTCTGTGGACCGAGTCAAATGTGGAACTCAAGGGTTGGAAGACAAGGGTTCCGTTACATCTGGCGTAAAACTAACACCACAGTCCACCATAAGAACCTCATACCAACAGTCAAACGTGGTGGTGGCAGTGTGATGGTCTGGGGCTGCTTTGCTACTGAAGGACCTGAATAACTTGTCATTACTGATGGAGCCATGAATTCTGCTATCAGAAAATCCTGAAGAAGAATGTCTGCCTGTCATTTCGTGTCCTAAAGCTCAAGTGCAGTTGGGTTATGCAGAAGGACAATGATTGAAAGCACACAGGCAGGTCCACCTCTGAATGGCTCAAAAGAAACAAAATTCAGGTTTAGGTGTGGCCCAGTCAAAGTCCTAACTTGAATCCCATTAAGATGCTGTGGCAAGACCTTAAATGTGTAGTTCAAGCTTGAAAACCCTTCAATGCAGCCAAATTAAAACAATACGCAAAGAAGACTGGGCCAAAATTCCTTCACAGCAATGTAAAACACACCTTGCAAGTTATCTTAAATGTTTGATTGGAGCTGTTACTGCCAAGGGCGGCACAACCAGTTATTAGATTTAGGGGAGCAATTACTCAGATGGGTGACACAGGTAAGTAAATCAGATGGGTGACACAAGTAAATCTTTATCTTCAGTAAATGGAATGATCATTTAAAAGCTGCATTTTGTGTTTACTCGTGTCATCTTTATCTTATATTAAAATCTGTTGGATGATCTGAAACATTTAAACATGACAAATTAGCAAAAACAGAAGAAATCACCTACAACTTTCCACTTGTGTACTACAGTTACAAATATGCTCGATAAATACAGTTATAATGCAACAATTTTCTTGTCTTCTTAATTCTAATTTGGCGCCTCCTAAAATACTTCGATCCACACTGCTTCTTTTAGGTGCTTTTGAGAAATGATATTCCTATCAGTCTTTTATAGCAACCAATCTGAACTAAAATCCTGAGATATATAGCACACTAGGTAGTTCACTAAGGTAATTCATTAAGACATTCATTGTGAAAGTAATTTCAAAAGAAAATTTCATGATGACCAACATAAAAAATATGAATCATGTTAACACAGAACATCATTAAATTATTATAACTTGTAAATTTAACAAACTTTTAATTCAGTGCCCAACATTTCCCCTGCGATTTTACACTGATATTACACCAGTGACTCATTTAAACATGGTCAATACTGATTTTCTATTAATCTATAAACCTTCCTTATACAATTGTAGTCTTTCATATGTGAATCTTTTAATAGGTGTATAACACTTTACTATATTTTTATGTGTATACACTTGTATTGAATGTAAGCTTAAATAAGAATGTGTGTGAGAGAGAGAGAGAGAGAGAGAGAGAGAGGGTGGGTGTATGTCACTCATCATTCCTCCACTCTGGGTTTACGTACTGCTGGACAACACTCTCCTCAGTATTCACAGTATCCACTAGATGGGGCGAGAGAGATAGATATAATCAACATGATATACTTTTATCAGAAGTTTCTTTTAAATATTTAAAGATTAAATATTACATTTAGATTCAAAAACCATCAAATTAAGAAATCAAGAACCTACAGCTAACAGCTCTCACAGCTCTTTTCAAGTATACAAAGAACAGAATTTATTTTTGATATTCTTTTTTGTTACAAGTAAGAACCAAGACAACTGCTTATTTTGCATAGATGAAACATCAGATTTACTCAGACTGAGTAAACTGTGGGCAATCATATACAGGGGATAAAGGGCAATGAGCGAGTCCCGAGGCCGTTTTCTCTCACCAGTGCAGTACTCACCTTCATCCTCCTTTTGAATGCTGAGAGCTGTCAATCGTGCCACCACCTCCTCTGTGCCTTCTACAATGGCACGGTTCAAACCAGTGTAGCCTCCCTCAACAGTACAGTACTCAATAAACCTACGCACACACACACACACACACACACACACACACACACATACACATTTTAAACAGCAACATGGAAATACATAACGTAACAGGAATCACTGATAATACCTACTTCCTACAACAGGTTCACTTAAATGTTATAGTATGATACACACATAACTCACAGTGCTGCAAAAATGTTTATATTGCTATTTACATGTTTTTGTTTTTTTTTTCATTTTCCAGCCTTTATTGTTCAGAGTGGGACACACGTTTGAACTTTTCTTAAGGTTATTTTTCTCATTATTCAACAGTTTTGTCAAAAGAAGCCACATGGGTCTTAGCAACCCAAGTAAATAACATTAGTTCAAAGCTGTACTGTACACGTATGAATACACTTTAATGCAGCCTTTCCATCATTGATTCTTTGCAAAATTGTATTATCAATTGAAAGAGGATGTGAAACCCCATGCACAGCAGTCTCAGATTTATGCACATACACACATGCAAATTACTGGAAAGTTACACTTCTCTATTACACAGGCCATGTTTTATTTTTTCCATTATGTTAAATTCAGTAAATACACTGTATCTGTAATACAATAAATGTTGCAGAAGTGTGTTCTCTGCACTTATTTTCACTAAGAAAATCAACAAAACATTTATTCTCACGAGGGGCAACCAAACTTTTGCATACAGTTCTATCTGAAACAACGTTTGTTTTTTACTCTTTAGTTGGCAAAATCATTGGCTGATAACAAAAGAGTACTCAGTGTGGTGTGTTATCGCAAAGAAAATCACAGATGGGATCATCCATGGCTGCGACTTCAGCTGCAACCAGGTGGTGTTGGGAGTGTTCTTTTCAGTAGCCCGTTTCATTAACATTACCTCTGTGTTAACAGACATTTTATTACCATTCCCATACTACCATGCAGTAAAGCTTTTCCCCATTCCTGCTGTCCCCACAGGAATATTTTTCAATCTGTTCCCTTGCCCACAAATTACTGTAGACCTCCACTGTGTTACTTCTATCCCCATTCATGCACAGCTCTCCACATCATGGTTTAGAGATACTGTTAATAGTACAGCAATAAATGTCAGTGACAGATCACTGGGTGTACCTGGACCAGGTGGAATCACTGCTGAGAATGATGGGGTTTCCCACCACGATGAGCAGGGACCTCGCTCTTGTCATAGCAACATTGAATCTCTGCGGGGACAGAAAGAGAATACGTTGTTTATTAATGTACAATTTGGACTTTATATGTTTTTAACTTTATAAAATATATTTACCATGACAGAATCTTTAATGGCATCATTTACATTCTTACCAAAATTTAGCAGAGAAAGTAGAAGAGTTTGCATTTCTCTGTGTGTTTCTGTAACGGGTCAAGTGTGTGTGTGTATGTGTGTGTGTGTGTGTGTGTGTGTGTGTGTGTGTAGTACCTTCTCATTGTTAAGGAAGCCAATGTTGAAATCTTTGTCAATTTTGATGTATTCATTAGTGCTGCGGACAGTAGACACAATGATGACCCTCCGCTCCTGACCCTGAAACTCCTCCACTGAGCCGACCTTCACATAGACATGCACAGTTTAGCAGGGCTGTAGGGAGGAAGCCATAAGAAAAAGCATACAAAGTTTTACAAAGGCCACATTCTGCAGATACTGGATTCCCTCAGTGTTACCTTCAGCTCTTCAATGTTCCTGTAGGCTTTCAGCTCCTTATCACATGTTCTGATGGCCTTCCTCAGTTTCTCCACCTGTGAGACCCACCCCACACACACACACACACACACACAGATCAACAATGATAACAATTTAGATGGGATTAGTGGTATGTAATGGAAAGGTCTGGAAAACTAGAGTTTGTGTTCGAACTGGTTACATCAGTAACTTCTTCATGCACTTTGTGTTCCCTTGTCTGTAAAGATTACTGCTTCTTTTACCTACTATAAAACAAACTTCAGGAATATCTCTAACTTATATAAATGCAGTACAAACTGACATGTTGGTGAATATTCTGAATTATTCTGTGAGTTTTCACTTTTTTTCTCAAGTATGGAGGCACTCGAGGAATCTCTGACTTACTGTATTCTCTGTGGCTCAAATCAACCCAATACATATCAGCCTAAAGTAACATTAAAGCCTGTAATACAGAATATATTTCATGTGGCAGTTTTGATGGTGGCCTGTAAAAGGATGGACAGCTAGGGGGTTAGAGAAATATTTAATGCATAAAGTGTTTTGTACAATGAAACATTTATGTGTAAATCAATCATAAACATTAGAGACACTGTCTAGTAGTAGTTCTTCAAAGACACTCACTGGCCACTCACTGGCAGTTGGAAGATCAGCAGCCTCTCTCTTATGCACTAGTGCTAGTAGTAATGATTCACCAAAAAATAAAATGTACACAATTTTCCCTTCCCCAAGTGTTGTTTATAAGCTGAGACACGTTTGATGTGTGAAGTTTGCTTCTTTAGCTTTGTACTGGAGTAATGAAAGTCACCTAAATTCTAGCTCTGCTGCTAAACTAAAGATGCAAACTTTAGTCACTAATCATGTTCTTCTGGGGTAGGAGGAAAATTGATAACTATTCCTTTGAACAGGGATTAAATTGGCATTTCAGAGGTGAGGGAGCTCTTGAAGAGTTGAAGTGTGCCATCACTGTGGAAACAACATCACTCAATTTATGTGTTATACAGAGAGATTCATTCAAAAGAGGCCCTGAATATTCTGTTGTAACTCCCGTTAGGATGAAGCAACCGGAAACAAAAAAAATGCGCTACATACCTTGACGTATGTGTAATAGACTGCATTACATGTGATGCTGGAAGTGATCTCTGTTTTCTGCCAGACTCATGAAGAGGTACGGGGGTATGCACCCAGAAGTTGCAAGGCTGTCCGGCGCCTACCTCATCGCTTCTACGCAGGGGCATCCCGACTTGTTCAAAGCTCCATATACTGAGGATCACATTGCATCTTGTTTCATTCAGATTGCTTCATACTAGCGAGAGTTATTACAGAATATTCGGGGCCTCTTTCGAGTGAATCTCCCTGTATAAAGTTTCCTAAAACTTATATTGTGGAAATGTGGTTAAAAGCTAAAAGCTTTTAAGTATATCTGTTTCTGCGTGCATGTGTGCATTTTAAAGGGGAATTCCATGGATTTTTTTAAATATCTACATAAAAAGCCACACTATTACTTACCATAAAATTAAGTGATTAAGATATAAGCAAAGTCAATCAGAGAGGTCTGATGTGATACAGTCCGTTTTAGAGAAACGTGAAGAGTCAGAATTGTTCACAGTGGTGGTGATAGGAACCAGGCGTCCCAGGAGTTTACTGTCTCTAAAAGCTACATCACAGAAAATTCTTACATGAAGTGTCTGAGATTGTTTTACGATTTTGAGATAAGGTTTTGTCCTAAAACTTTTTTTATTTATATATGGCGCAGGGCACTGTACCCAAAGCACCCAAATAAAATGAGCTTTTTCTGATTTTCCACTATTTTACCATCTTCAACGTTACATATGAAAACTCAGAAGACGCATGTAGGTTCATTGGTTGTTTTGGATAGTAAATAAAATGCCTATATTGGTGTTGTAGACTTCACAACTTCTTGTTCCTATCACCAGTTTCTCTAGAATGGAGCATATGACATCAAATCAATCTGAATGACTTTACATCTCAACAACTGAATTATGCATAATTAAAAAAACTGTTGAATTCCCAAACTGATCATAATTTAAAAAGTTAGATTCAAATTTGACAAAAAACCATTCATATGTAAAAGGCCTGCTACGTGGAGGCATGTTTGATTTAGCTAAATCAATGGTGGCAATTATATATGACTATGGAAACCAGCTGTACAGTGTTCTACTTTGGATGCAACATTACAGCAGAAAAACAACAACAGAAACAACGTATTTATGTCTAAATAGTTCCACCCTCACTCTGATCGCTCAACATCCTACATATCCTACACAGAAAAATATACAAGCAGGCTTACAGAAAACACATATCAACATAAAGGTTTTGCACAATGTAGTTTATAAATCCCCAGTTACTGCACCAATTCAAACAGGTAAACTGCTCCTGACTCCCCTGCTCATTCCCACCTGTTTCCTGTAAGGGGTGATGACACCGATGTCTCTGGGTGAGATCTTGGCGATGCCCTTCTTGGCCTGTGACAGCAACAGTTTCTTCAGGTAGTTGACGACGACAACGATCTCGCTGGTGTTGAAGAATGACGGACTGTTTGACTCCCTCTCATCTTTCCCAGGCACGCCATGGAAAATCACAGGAAAACCCTGACAAACGAAAGAGTAAGAAGAGAGCACAACTCAAGACTGATACTTTAGTCATCACTGATGATTCTAAGCCATCATAAGGGTTTAGCAAAGAATTATGATTCATTTATAAAAAAAGGGGGTATAAATATTTTGTGAGAAGCTCCTGACTCTCAGCTCAGTCTGTAATATTGTGTAGTACATGGTTTTGAGTGTGCACATTCATTAGTGACTTGCTTCTACCAAGCCTTTACTCGGAGGGTTTGAAAAGAATGAATGCCAATGGTTTCAGTTGGAGTGGCGGAGGCGGGCAGGTTCTGATGTGGTAAGGGGAATCAAACCAAACATTCAAGCTACCCACCAAACCAGCACAACCTGAATTTGTGCTGCTAAAAATAGTAGGAATAAACAGATAGACAGCAAAGATATCCAGTGCCATGGTTTTACTTCCCTAATGCAGCCCCAACAGATATTAAAGTAGATGAAAATAGTATAATATTTCTTAATACTGTATCTATATATGGCAGGTACACTACAGGCCAAAAGTCTGGAAACAACACTAACTTTGTACACATATTGGTATGTTTTTTTAAAACACAAATGTTTATTACAAAAAGAGTTGGACTAAATGTCTGTTGCAGTAGAGGATAACTAACAGATACTTTATTAATTTTGTCTTAGTGATTCTCCTGCAGAATTTTATTGCAGCTTTAATCAGATCCATATTCTCACACTTAGATGCTCCTTAAGTCTTGAACGAAATCAGGTGTGTTAAATTAATAATTTTGTATGACAAAATGGTTAACACAAGACACGGTTAATAACGGACTGTGTAGGCTTTTCCTATAAAATACGCTTGAGCAGAGGTGTCCAGTATTATCCACAAATGGCCAGTGTGGCTGCAGGTTTTCATTCACTGCTTTCACATTTTAGGCATGTAGTGTACAAGACTACTCCACTACTCGACTTATAAATCCACTAGTTGAAAACTGTTTTTCTGCTAAACACAGAGCCCAAACTACTTTATTAGCGTGAAAATCATGAGATTAAACAATTCTACTGCACGCTGTTTAAAACTGTGCTGAAATACAGACTCCTAACCCGACCGAGTAGGTTTTGAGATCCACATCTCTGATAGGGCCATTCACTGACATGCAAATCGATCAATCAAACATTCAGTGCAAAAAATTAATGGCAATTACTACCTACGGTTTTAAACAAAAGGAATCAAGAACTAAAAAACGGATTTCATGAATGTTTTCTGGTTCAGCCACCAGGCTTATATCTCACTCTAAAAGGCTTGAAGATACAACTGCTTGCTACTAGCATTTAGCTTGCTTCGGACTGACAAAGCCAGTTCATGGAAGCGTGGAGAGGCAGGGCCAAATTCTCTGTGAGTGGTGAGCTTCTGAGACCTTTGTTGATTTTGGCGCGCAGTTTACATCAGACAGTCTGTGTACTTCTGTGGGCAGAGAAGCTGAAACTCATTGAAATACAACAACAAGCTTTCCTGTGCTGTACATCTCACACCTTAAACCACAACATTAAACCAGCCCAGCCAAAATTTATAGTCATGCAACCCTATAAGGTACATGTATACTGTATCTCACTCTCTTAGGAAGGTGTTCCCAGTTGCAGTACAAGCTGGTGCTGAACTCGTCTGCAAATGGCTGCAGCTCTCCATCATAGAACATCTCATTAGGAATCTTAAGGATGGACTTGTGAGACCTGCACAAGAGACAGGAAGCAATAATGGGTTAAAGCAGAACAAAACCTCTGATAAATGAGCTGAGTTTCAAGTGGATTTATAAAGAAGCTGGATGTGCTTGCTGCACCTATAGTTGCGCAGCAGCTTGGTGACATAGCGAGGGTTGAATCCGGTCTCTTCTTTCTGATAGAGAGGATTTTTGGTCATCAATCTCGCTAGAAGGGACAGACCTACAGAAGAGGGAGAACAAGACAAACACAAAGGAATACAGTGTCAAACGCCATAGTGACCGCAACAAGCTCATTGTCACTAAATCTTCCAAAAGCAATGAAATATTGTCGTGCTGCATTTGTTCTGCTTGTTTCCTTCACAATGCTTTCTTTTCCTGTTAGCCAACAGGCTAGTAGCTTGCCCAAGTTGCTTTCTGCACCGACACTTGTAAGCTGCCTTCATATGGGGGTGGGGGGGGTCTGGGTATGCTGTTGGCACACAACAAAGCAGCTTTAATTAAGCTTTGGTCACAGAACTACCAATTCCACTTTCACTGTCTATCACAATGTAAGCTGTCTTAATATAGGGAGATGGGTGTTGGGGATGCTGTGGACATGCAGCAAAGTAGCCTTCATTTATGCTCTTTGGTAAAAACAATGTCCAAATTCCAGCTCCAGTTTCACTGTCTACATTTACTCCATCTAGCCCCAGAACCTAAACTAGTCTACTGAATTCACTGGAGCTTTCAATGACCCACTACTGTCTGGACTACACAACATGAGAACAGCCTGCTTGCTTCTGATCAGCGAATACAATCACTTTTCTCCTGTTAGAATATAATCCATCTCTCAGCTTTAACCCTCTAGACTCCACAGCAGCCTCGACTAGCTGCTCTGCATTTCACTGCATTGGATGTGGATTAAACTAATTCTGACAGAAAACATGACGATTACAACAATCATCGACACAAATCACACTTTAGATCCCTTTTTACGATGAATAAGGATGAGACATATGGCATTCAAAAGTATTCTGTTTATTAGATATCTGGCAAGATTTCAGCTCACCTGGACAGCAAGGAAACGGAAGCTTGTTCAAGATTCAAATCTTTTGAAATCTTTGTTTAGCAATGTGTTTTCATAGTTTTATAGCTAGTTTATTGAATATGTAGCCCACTTTATGTTACAACATGGGATAAATTACCAGTACGCGAACATAAATCTCATTCAGTATTGATGTTTCGGCACATAATTTTGCCATTTGATACCAATTTGTATTTCTATGGACATTTCACAACCTTCCACTACATGATTCATCTGAACCTGCTACATAGTCTGTTATTTCAATTCAGTTCAAACATCAGTTTAGAAGTGTTCTACAATTCTAAAGTCTAAAGGGTTAAAAAGGGTAAGAGGGCTATAAACCTAGTAGAGCAAGACATGGGACACATGGCAAAAAAGTAAAGCTGCAATACTTATAGACATCTACGCAACATTTTTAGATGTGAAGCACCTCGTGACCTGGCTTATAACTCACTCACTCTCACGTTTAGCAGGCTGAAGATTCTCCACAAGGGGCCGCTATTAGCACTAAAGTACCTTTTGATGCTTTGCATCAATGACACTGTGTCCTTCTTTTCTTTGGTAGTTTGCTAACATGTTGGAGCAGGCACAATGTAGCAACCAGAGTAGTGAAAACACAAACAAGAAATAACCTGAATACTTTAAATACACTTGTGACAGATGTAATATACTGTCATGGTGCTATACTTTTGCCAATGCTAGAGTTTAGTAGAGGCTACTTTGTAATGAGTCAAAGAAAAATGGGAGAAGAAGAGAGTTAGAGCTAGCAAAATAGACCGTAACAATCCACAACCGCAAACCATGAATCTGTTGTGCCTTTTTTTTACCTTGTTGAGGAGTGAACATAAGTTACTGCAGTTTTATGTGCTTTATGTGGTGGTTATAGTTTAGTAGGCACTTGAATAGAAATGCTAGAAACTTTACTGATGTTTGTATTGCGTTATAAACACACAGATTTTTGTTCTGCTTTGATATCTCTGCTTCGTGTCCTGGGCCATACTCCCACTGGACGTTTTACCAGAACAGTATGCACTTGGACAAAGATGAGAGGTTTGCACAGAGTTTGGGAAACCTTTCACTTAACTACGGCAAAATGGATCACCTACTCTAAGGAATTCTATCTGTGCTATCTGGTGAGCTCTATTCATGTACATAGTTGTTCCTGCTGAGTGTGAAGAGGCTGAAAAGAACTGAAAATAATAAAAAAAGACCTGAACAACAGAGTTAAAGCAACTCAGTCGAGCTGTGTTATTAGTAACTTTGTAAATAAACCTAGGCAATGGCCACAAATGTCCTCCTTTCTTTTTGGTTTGCTAACCTTACTAAGTGAAATCTAGTGTTACACACTGACGTTTGGTTTTATTCAAGGTAACACGGATCATTAAATCCAACAGGAAGAGGAAAAGTCTAACAACTGATTAAAAAATAATAAATAATAATGGGCTAACATCCAGTCAGCTCCTTGTTACTATGTAGATTTAATTCAGCAGCGTCTCTGTCTTTTATAAAGCATGCAACTGGCCACAGTTCTAGAAGTACTGATAATACCTGTGATATGTTCAGGAACGCATGCTGTGACATCATTCATTGTGATAACAATAACATATTTTCATACTACCTGCCCCTACAGTGGGCCATCCTGTGGAGAGAAAGTGGAGTTCTGTAGCTCACCTAGTCCATACTTAATAGCGATTGGAGACCGCAGAATGGGTCCCAGCTGCTTTGGATCTCCAGCCAGAACCAGCTGCCCTGTCTCTGCATGCAGCAGACCTATACAAACACACACACATACTTTTTATAGGTGCAACTATGACTAAAAGCTGGAACAAAAGAAGGTTAAGGTAAACATATACACACATACACCCAACACATTACAAAATATCCTTTTTAGAATTTTTTTTTTACCAGCTATGCCAATAATGGCCTCAGACTCCACAGCATGACCAGCTTCATCCACGAAGATATGAGTGAAATGACCAACAGGTAACCCACCAGTGACCAGTCTACACACACACACACATATGCACTCAAAGCACACACCAGATAAGATTTAGGGAGAATTTTCAAACTGGCTCAGGATTAGTGTGTCCAAAAACGATTATAAAGGTTTATAGATTATAAAGATTTTTACCTGCCAGCTGTGCACACAGTAGTGACTACAATGGTATACTCCATCAGCTCCTCCTTATTGAGAAACTCATACATTTCACCCTTAAGGTTACAGCTACTCTAAAGAGACAACAAGCAGACCATTCAGTTACCTCATAAAGGAACATACTTTTGCCTGTCACTGTTTTTTAGCTCATAAAGTAGACAAATTACTTTGTTCCATATCTGCAAGTTGCTTAAAAACAAACTCAAACCAAAATATACTGTTGGTGTTGACATGTTCTTATGTGTGTTCTCTACATGAATATGTATTTTTTCACTGAATTCACTGAATACTTGAATTCTGAATTTTTACCTTGAAAACGGTTTATAATGGTAGTTTTTTTGGGATTTGCAATGTTATGTTAGCAACAAGCTAGCGGTAGTGTACATTCACTTCTCATGCTTCTTATGAACAGACATTCTAGTAAAAATTAGTTTACTTTGCTTGAGGCAGTTTTACAGTAGAGTCCTCTGTAAATATTTCAACTTAAAGCTTAATTCATAATATTATTGGAGGAGCCTGTTAGCAAGACCCCAATTAGCTAGCTAGGAGTTAAACAAATCTGCATTCGGCCTGGAGCCATATCTGTTTAGTCATATTACAACTTCAGTTAGGATTGAGTTTAGGACAGTAGCTATTATAACATAACTGAAGATCCTAAATTAGTCTAACTCCAGATTAGAACAGAGTATTACAGAAGCACCCTCACTAGACAAAATATCCTAAATACGGATGCTACAGATTACACTTGTGATTTCGGTTGTTTCTATGCGTAAACAACTGAAATCGCAAGTGTAATTGGTAGCATCCATATGTCTGCGTGAGGCGCATGTATGCAATGGGGAGAAAAAAAATAAGAACAATAATAAGAAGAAAAATCTTGGCAAAAACAACATATGCATGCTTAGACCCTAATGATTCCCCCTTGTGGAGCATCTTGAGCCTGCGATTAGAATGACAGCCTAATCAGATACCTTGATTATCATTACCGACTTATCATTGGAGATTCATCGAGAAGGAAAATATTAATGTGTGTTTTATTTAATCAGTTTACTGAGTTTATTTGAGTAATCTTGGCAGACCTAGAAACATTATACTGCCCACCCTTAAATACAACTACTAACCAGCAGACCAAGGGGCACAAGTTCGGGGTCACGGCTGCAGGCATACATCCGGTAGACTTTGTAAGAGTCTACGTGTTGTAGCAACTTCTCACACAGCTGATCCGCAGCACTGTTAGAGGGGGCACACGCCAGGATACGCACATCTGCACCACTCTTCTCCACCTGAGAGAGAGAGAAAAAGAGAAAAAGACAGAGAGAGAGAGAGAGAGAGAGATAAAGAGAGAGATGTAGTTCACTGCAGTAAACTGCCACAATGTACTAAGGAATGTATGCAAGGAACATGGATTGGCATTCAGTGCTGCAGCCAGCCATTTGGCCTCTCAGCAATTTCGGCATGCTACCATTACAGTGTTGTGGTGTTTGTTGCAGCCCAGTTGATATTTAGCAATGACAGTTAAAAAATGTATCAGTTACCAAGCAAGAAAAGGAGGCCTTGCACACAGCTGGTCTCAAGATTAGTATACAAGTCCCCCTTACTCTGAGACCGAGACAAGACCAGGTAAAAATAATGTCATATTTCAAAGCTGCCCCACCTGTTTGATGGCCTCCACCATGGTGACTGTTTTGCCAGTGCCTGGAGGCCCAAACACCAGGTAGGGGGCAGGCTTGGACACACCCGCCACAATGTTGCACACGGCAGTGTACTGTTCATAATTCTGCTCCAGGCTTCTATCAAAGAGTCTAAGTACACAAACATACAGACACGTACACACACAACATCTTAATTTTACAACAGCCTACACACATGTTCATGCAACCATTTCCAAAACAGCATCTTTTGCCTCACTGACCTCAATGAAAGCTCTGCCCTTGTGGTCATGGACTTTGACCCTGTAGGAAACAGGACCTCCTCAAGTTTGTGCTGGACAGCTAGCTGCACAGCACGATGTTGGAGTCTCATCAGGAGCCTATTAACAGTGAACTCCACCCGAAACTTCATATCATCTATGAAGCTGGCCAAGAACCTGTGGAACCATACAAAGATAACACATGCAGTCTAAATCTTTAGATTTATTTTATTTTGAAACTAAAAAAAATCATAAAATCTCTGTAAATCCCAGTCGACAAACACTACAGCAGACTGCAGCACTAGAAAACCAACAGTGATCTGGTTGTGTCTTGTTACATAAGCCAAACTAGTTTTGGTTTGTGGATTATGACTAGGCTGAAAGCAGTTGTTTTTTTTCCATCTAGCTTCTGTTCTCTTTCTTAATTTTACACTGAGGTACTAAACCTAATTCTAGATTAAAGAAATTTATTGGCAAAAAAAATGTACACAATTTTCCATTTACCATTATTTCCATTTACCCAAATGTAATCAAGCAGCCAAGGCATATTTGGGGTCCATAATCACCCAAATCTTTCCTGTAAATACTTTCCCAAAACTTTGCTTAACCTGCTCAAACAACATTCACCTCATCACTAAGGTCATGCAGACCTGTTGATGTATTTAAGACACAGTATGACCTACTATGAGCTTTAAAAACAAACAATATTTGAATGTGTAGCTGAACACTGCAGTCAGCCATTCAAGACAACAGTGTTGCATCAAATTCTGCTTCCCCTCCAAAATCTAGCTCCCCTTTGCTAGATTAGATTCTGTAAAGATATATCTTCAGTTATAAAATTCAAGATTAACTGTTATTCATAAAAAGAAACAACAGAAATCGTGAACATAAATTGTAGCGTTCTTGTGCCTGCGTGATGTGCGTGCACGGAACGGGCAGTGGAATTTCATCACAACAGGCGGTGTCTAAAGTTTTGTTTATATTTATAGTTAAGTCATACTGTATCTTAAACCACATCAACAAGTCTGTGTGACCTTGACAAAGACCTGGAGGCACTTTGAGCAGGTTGAGAGAAGTTTTGGGCGTGTATTAGTTGAAGGACAGCAACTGAAGCCTGTCTTACCTTGAAGAGAAGCCCAGTTTGAGCTGGTCAAGTTCTACACGGTGCACATAGCCCTTGTATTTGGTAACACACTGCAGATGTAGGTCTTTGCTCTTGGTGAGCAGCAAGTGGTCTCCTCTCAGCACTGATGGCCGGTTCTCAGTAACACCTGGAACCTGGAGACATGGAAAGATGAGCCAGTTTGATCTGAAAAGCACACAGTACTACCACAATATCAATAAGGATTCAATTGCCAAAGAACATTAACACTGCTTCATACTCACTTTGAGCACCAGCAGATTCTTATTGGACTTGTCCCTTTTCATGGTGACATCTTCCTTATCGTAGCTCTTGATATCTACATGCATCTGAGACTCCTCTAGGTAAAGTAGCATTTGGAAGCGCTCTGCATAGTTATGAAAACTCAGAGGAGACTCCAGCAGAGACCTAATCACCATCACACAGAGAAATAACCTATAAAGTCTGACAGCACTCCACCTTGAAAGTTAATTCCAGGGTATCAGTGCTCAAATGTTTTTACTTAAACTTTATTTGATGGTTTGCAATTACCACATGTACACTGATTTGATGCTAGGGTTGCCAGATTTCATGAAAAAGCTGGCCAGGGGCTGTTCAGCCAGCATCCACTGTCTTTTCTGCAGGTCAATATGCAGTTCTATTCTGTTTTTTTCTGACATGTTTTTGTGTTTAATTGTCTTTTATCTTTTTCATCATATTTTCTAAAATTAACAATATAAATTAAACTTTTTAAGCTGCAACATGTACATTTTGGGGATTTAGGACAACTTTCTGGTGGAAATGCCTAATTGCACACCATGTGCAAAAGAAAATTTTGTAACATCGGTTGTGCTTCGGATCCCTTCCCTGAGTGGATAAATCAGATAATTGCAAGAGCTGAAAGAGTATCAAAATAAAATTCAGTCAGAATTTGGCTAAGAATGTGTCTTCAGAGGATGCAAGTGAAATATCTACTGTTCTCATCAGTATAATGTTCGCCTATGCGACCTAAACATCGAGCCCGACCTTGCTTTTGTGCATGACATTAACATGTAAAGATGTAAGTGGCCTAAAAACTCCTGCAAAATCCAACCTTTTTATTTTCTCCTGACTGCTACTCCTTTAAGTTTTGACAAAAAAATCTTATGTAGTGCTGCTTTAACTGGACATTTTAACATCAACAGTATCAACACCCAACAACTGAACTCAAAAATGTTTTTTTTCACAGACAAACTGCCGTCAAATTTGATGGGCAATATTAATTTTCTTTGAAAATGCATGTAAATAAACCTGCATGTTGCTGCTGTCAAAAAAAAAAACCTTGTATCTCCATTTTTGTTGCTATTCAGTGTTTTACATGAATTGAAAATGCCTGATGTGCTTTAAATTGTGTGTAAATTTCATGATGAATAAATCAAAAGAAACGGCCCAAAATAATACAAGGTTTTGTTCTGACAGCAGTGATATACTTAGGCAATAGAACATGAGAGGGAGTGTGTTATCGCGAAATAACATGATGACTGTGATTTGGTCGCAGATCACCGTAGGTCATCACAGCCGTGATGTTATTCGCGATAACACACAATCTCCAGTGTTCTATTGCTTGTATAAAACAGTTAAATAAATAAAGTAATAAATAAATAAATTGGGCTGTGAACGTGTCATTTAATATGTTTTAATGTCAGCAGTTCCTTCCGCCAAATTATAGTTCCTTAGCAAGCAGCTTGTTGCTACGTCAGAGTAACGAACTCCGCTTACTCGCTGCACAGCCGGCAGTTCATCCTCCAGCTCCACACAGACCAACTGACAGTTTGGGAATTTAGCGCAGTCTCATCTTCAGAGTCTTCAGAGTCAGGCTGTCGGTCAAATGTGATCTTAAAAGTGTCCATTTTCTGTTTGTGCAAGTAAAAACATTCGAATGGCTTAAGCGTCTCCTACAGCTGTCAAAGTCGTTGCTTAGCAACGGTGTCTCAGCGGAGTGATACAGTGTGTGTGAAAAACCCGTGATGATATGGCGAAATAACAGCATGGATAGAATACTTTTCAACCAATCAGCTTGCATGGCTGGAACTAACTGTTGTATTATGTATTTTAACACTGCAGTTAATTTACAAATAGAATGTAAATTCACAAAAACAAATGATCTTAATTTCAAAGACATTTGCATTATTTTACCAGGTTTTACTGTTATTTTGGTAAAATATTGCATGAATATTCAAAATAATTAATTGCGATAAAAGACAATATATCTAGGTAAATAATTACTTATTTTATAGATTTTTACTCATATTTTAGCTATTAATTAACAAGTTTTGTCTGGCACCTCTGCAGCTGGCCTTTTAGTGTTTAGTGTGGCTTCAGCAGTGCTGGAAGGGAAGGTACAAGCTTGTGTGCATCTCAAGCTGCAGAAAAACTTCAGATACATTTGATGCTGGCAAGAGCCACAAAGAAACAGAGAAAATGAAAGATCATTATTAGCCATGTCATGAATCAACATTATGTTTTCGTTAGCAAACAGGTATTAATTTAGGCTTTTAGGCTGATAATAATGCCACCTGTTTGAATATGTGATCGGTTATGTGTGGAGTAACAAATCACATCATTTAATAACAACACAGGTGTTTCGCATAATTGGACCCTTACGTACGTCAAACTGAATCTAAGTCAAACTGAGTCAAACCGTCATATTCAATCACCTTGATGGGCACTGAAATTTTTCCAGCAGACTCTCTGATCAGCGCTGACCAGAAAATTGGTCATGTGTATGGAAGAGTGAACTTATAAGCTCTAAGTAAAAGCGGTATGATTACTTTCAACTCGGTAGTGAGGGCATGATGAGTGCTGTGGGTCACTTACTTTATATCCTGGAGATGGGAGCTGGAAGCCCTTGAACAGTTTTTCAGGAATGCCGTCAGATCATTGATGTAAGATGGACATTTGTACTGCAGCAACAGGACCTCATTTTTAAGATGATTTATGGCCAGGCTACAGGAGACAGCACAACAGACAGCGACACTGAAACCTAAGGATAATTTCTTCTAGGGAAAGCATCCAGAAAAACCAGCCCACTGTCTAAAGCTGCTTTCATACCTAGATTGTTTGCTAAAGATTTACACATGCGTTTGTGTGTTGACTGGTCAATAATTTGGTGGGAATACAAGCACTCGGACACCTTCAAGTTTGCCTCCATTGCCCATCGCTATATAAAATCAGTTGAATCTCTTACATATACTCTTGGTATAAATTTATTAACCCTCACATTTTCCTGCATGATTATGCAGGAGCTTAACACAATTTTGGCCCTTCGTGTCTACCTTTATCACAATTAAAGCAATTAAAATAAACGCATCCTGATCTCTGAGTCTTTCATTAGGTTGTTTAAATTCTAAATAATGCAGGATTAAAGCAAAAAGGCTGCTGACTGGACTTATTACAATAGTTCTTGGTTTAGGCTTTAAGGCTGGTAATAATGCCACCTATTTATGGTCCACGTGCCGAAACATATTCTCTTATTTTGTTATTGCTTCTCTCTCATTAGCAACAGCAAGTGACTGGCATAATCAGAACAGCAATTTGAAATGCTTTAAAACATCTGCAACACTGCTGTGAACCAGTGCTTTGAGGAACTTATCAAAGTGGCCAAGTCGTGTGCTTTCAAATGAATCTTTGTTGTGCCATAACATGGTTTCAAAACATGCTGACGGTTTGGTGATTAGGAACTGGGGGAGAACCTCAAAGTGAACCTGTGTGTGGCAAATGTATGGCAACTACATATCTCAAAATAATTGTCATAACTTCATTCATACTATAGGACTAAATCAAATGATTTGGGCTGATTAGCAGCTTTCTGCATATGTTTCGACCTGCCTTTCCACCTATATTTACTCTATAATCAAGCTAATTTGTTAAGAGTGAGTATTTTATTTCATGAATGAATACAAGGTTCGCTAGAAGCAGACCGAGATCTTTTTGGCAGATCACAGTTTAGTGGTTTGGGGCGGGTAGAGTGTTCAAAAATACCTGTGAAAACTAACCAAACTATAGAAAAATCTTGACTGGTCCACACCAAACAAGAAGGGTATGAAAGTGACCTACATGTTTTTGCATCCAAATGATAGAAGTACAGCACTTTCTTTTGTCTACATAAATATATAACTTATATTTTCTATTTTATGTAACTTTTATGGAACTTATACAAATATAAAGTCTACTCCAGGACAACACAGATAGAAAATACTACTGAATACTTCCTAAACGCTCTGAGTAATAATTATATGTGATGTAATATAAAAGCTTTATGTATTAATAACGTGTGCTCTTAAGCCGTACCCCTCTGGTTGCATTCCTTCGTCCACACTAAAGTTCACAGCTTGGACACTGCTCACTTTGGGATGTCTGTAGCGCTCGACGGGTGCCAGCTCTGCAGCCAACTGTGTCCTGAACTCTGCCTCAATAAAGCGCACGATGTGGAATGGTCTGGAGGACGGCTGCATGCTCGGTTTGAACTCAAAGGCCACCGTAACCCTGTAAAAACCCACATGCTCTGCACGGAACTTCACTTTGATCTCATACGTGTTACCTGGTGGACAGAATACATAACTGTGTATCAACTTCAGGAAGAATCTTAAAGGAATGATTAAGTGAGAAATTGAATTTACATAATTTTCTGCTTACCCTAGACACAGTTAATCAGCCAAGACATGTTTGGTGTCCAAATTTTGCCTCTTTAGTTTAGCATTAGAGCTTTGAGGCTTACATTGCTAGCAAACAGAAGTCAGTAGTCACACAAATCTTTTCCTCAAAACATTTCTCAACTTGCTCAAACCTCATGCAGGGCTTCATTAAGGTCGCAAAGACTTCTTAATGTGGTTAAGAGGGCAGTATGGCTTAATATGAACTTTGAATACGAACAAAACATCCCCGTGTTGCTGAACACAGTAGACAGCCACTTTAAATAACAGGAGTAGTGCTAAATTCTGACTCCCCACACAGAATTAGACTCTTCATATGGATGGTAAAATATAAGGAATTTCTGTTCTTTCTCTTATAAACACATATCTTCAGTTAAAAAAATTCAAGATTAACAGGTATTTATAAATAGAAATAACAGAAATCGGTTGTTGAGATTTGGCAAACAACTCATCTAAAGTGGCCGCCCCCCTGAAGTTCCATTATCAAGTTTTATTCATTTTTAGAGGCCACAGCAGATCATAATGTGCTCTAAACCACATTAAGTCCATGCAACCTAAAGGAACACCTGGATGTGGTTTGAGTGGGCTGAGAGAAATTATGTATTCTGGTGTTTATTATAGAGATGAAACGGTTACCGGTTTCACGGTAAACCGCGGTAAAATTAACGACGGTTAGTAGTACCGTTTGAACTTTAAAGTATCGTTAAAACCGCGGCCGATTACCGTGGTGTGAAAAACTCGCTGCACAGAATCAAACAAAGGCAGAATCATCTCTCAGACGCAGCTCTGTGTGTATGTAGAGGGGAAGGGGGAGGGAGAGGGGTAGAGAAGGGAGAACATGGGGGAATGTAGTGACAGAGATTCGGAGATATTTCAGCCTTCTAAGAAGACCAAGTCTGACGTTTGGTCATGTTTTGGGTTTTATAAGGATGCAGAAGGAAAGTTAATTGAAGATGACCACCCTGTCTGCAGAACAGGCCGAAAGAAAATAGTGGCGAAAGGGGGCAACACATCCAACCTTACGAGTCATCTTCGCGACCACCACCCGCTACTTTTTAGAGAATGCAAGGTTAACATTAACAGAGAAGTCCGTGGGGACTTCGAAATAGAAGAAATGTCATGGTCTGTGTGGTTTAACTTATGCTTATGGTTCGTTAATAATATAAAATGAAGCTTTAAGCATCAAAAAAAAGAAAAACAATCGGTGAATCAACTGTGAATCGAAACTTAAGCCTTTAACACATATTTCTGTGGAGCAGAGTCTCCAAAATGAGCTCTGAGTTAACAGTCACACAAGCTCTGGAACGAGACGCTGCAGAGGTTCAATCTGCACAGCTCGCCTTTCTCGTTTCGCTTGCAGTGTTTACTGTCTGAGAAGAGAATAACACCGTCTCAAATCACTGTGTCCCCTACATAGGGCGCTACTGTTCAAACAAACACGATCATCATTAACAAGCAATTGAGTTTTAAATAGGGAATTTGTAACCTATCGTTAATATATTGTTACTGTGAACGTTTCCTGCACTCTTTGGGTGAAGGATTTGCTATTTCATGATCCACGAAGTGCACTACGTAGGGAAGATAGTGTGCTTTGAGACGGGACCTTGCGCGAGTAAACGCTGTGTGCTGCTTTTAGGAAAAGCAGAGTTTCAGAGATTAAACTGTAGGAGTGTTTCTGCCGCAGCTCAGATGCACGTTAATTTTAAGTTATGTTTTAGTTTTAAAATGCTTTTAGAGAAGCAGCTCCACAGGTGAAGACACACTGTGAGTTCTACACTGTCTGCACGGTCACGCAGTTCCTCTGTGATTTTGGCTGTTTTTCCTGGTGCACTGTATTGATTAGGGGTACAGCGCCACAACGGCACAATAATGCTGCAGCTGCAGTTCGGACAGAAATCCCCCCCCGAGTGCAGCACTTCTTAGAAGTAGTAATTTTCCATTAAGACCCACCTCAGAGTTGGTCCAGATTTAATTATCTATGCAGGTAAATCCCTAATTATTGTAATTCATAATAATAATAATAATTACAACGGTAATAATAATAATTATTATTATTTACAACAGTAATAATAATAATAGTTATAACAGTAATAATAATAATTTGCTATTCTTTTGTTTACAGAGTATTGTAAGTAATACAAAAGTAATACTACAAATGTATTGACTATATTTTTTTTATGTTTATGCAAACAAAAAGTGCATATTGCTGCCAGTTCTATCTGTGTTAATAAAAAAGTTGGTGAAACGAGTTTCAGTTTGTGTATCAGTATTTATTTATTTATTTATTTTACTTTTCAACGCTTTTGAACAATATCGCGATAATATCGATAATCGTGATAATTTTGGTCATGATAATCGTGATATGAAATTTTAACATCGTTTCATCTCTAGTTTATTAGAACTACATCAGCCTCTTAGTTCCAGTGCAAAACTAAAGAAGTATAATTTGAACACTAGACATTCTTGGCTGATCAACTACATCTAAGCTAAGTGGAAAATTTGGTACATTTTTTTGATTTGTTCGTTTTTGTTTTTTTTTGCAGAACAATTTCTTTAATCTGAGGTTAGGTTTAGTACCATAGTGAAATATGAAGAGAGAGAAACTGTAGGGGTTTTGTTGGAACATGTTGAGGCTATAGTGTTTTTTCTCACCAGGGCTGAGGTGCACAGGATTGCTGCGCGTCACTCTCCCAGGGTCCTCAAACGTGAAGCAGTGTATCCAGTGAAGTGGCGAATAGTAGGTGAAGTAAACACTACCCGTTCCCCTGTTCTCCACAAAAAGCCTCTGCTCATAAACCTCTTCACGCTCCACACAGAAGCAGATTTTGCCATCTACCATCTCTGTTTCAGAGCTGATGTGAATTCCATTTTTATCAGCCACAAACTCTGACCTGAGAAAATAAGATAAAATGACGTTAGACTAGTAAGGGGACTACAGCAGCAGACCTGCTGAATCTGTCAACGGCATGTCAATGGAAAAACTTACATACTAATGGCACCGAAACAGGTAAAAAAGACAAAAGTCTACTTAATTTTAAACATCACATTTACATTAAACATCACTGTAAAGGAAAATATGCCCTGCGATGGACTGGCGACCTGTCCAGGGTGTATCCTGCCTTCCGCCCAATGACAGCTGGGATAGGCTCCAGCACCCCACCGCGACCCAGAAGCATAAGCGGTTTAGATGATGTATGTATGTATGTATATAAAGGAAAATAATGCCTTTTTTAGCACCACTGTCACACCCTTCTGTAAACTAAACTGCTCCAATGCTTATATGTTTTGCCATACCAACATTTTTCCTCTCAACATCGCTATTAGTTATGAACTGCAACAATTATGAAGTCCTTAGGTGAAACAGACTACTGCTAAATGCAAGCTAAGCTTGCAAGCTCTGTCAACCTCCCCAAAATGCCCCACACAAACCATCAAGCTTTTTCAAATCTGGTAGTTAAGTTGCTGTATCAGTTTTAGGCTGCAGTTTGAGTAGTTAGTGTTGGCATACAACTGCTGAAGTATAACAGCAGACTTATTTTCATGTGATATCATTTCAGTGTGCAGGATGTTAGCTTGCCTGCAGCATGTATGTAGTAGTAGTATCATTTTTAGTATAGTGACATCTTTATCTCAGGACGTGACAGCAGCAAATTTTCGAAAACAGCATTCATTTCCCTTATAGAAAAAAACAGTTCCTAATTTAGGCGTGACACAAGCATGACACATGGCTTAGACCCTAGGATGGGTCACTATTTCTCCCCTTTGGTTTGAGTTTGGCTTACTTTAGCTGCAGGTTCAGCTCCATCCTGTCTCTGCCCCCCTCTCATTATCCCACTTACCAGCAGCTGCAACAGGTTCTGCAGTTTTCTGTGAATGTCTGAGACATAGTCCTGCTGCGTATTTTCTTCATGGTTTGGACCCCTGCTCTGTTTCTAGTTTTTGATGGTGAGTTTGTTTAGTTCATTCTTGCCTGACATACTTGCCATTCCAGCCTTAGTGATGCTCATCCTCAGTCATACAAAACATTCCAGCAGAATTAATCAGTTGCTCTGATCTGATTAAAAGTTTGGAAACCCAGATTATCTGATGACCTCATGTCATCTGGGCTAATGGTATCAGGAAATGTTTCTTTATTTGGTGTGAACTGACAGCTGACAGTCATTTTGAGTAGGTGTAATTATGATGCAGAGAATGGGTGTTTGAACTGTTCCTAAACACCTGCTTTGAACTCAAGTGATTCCAAAGAACCAAAACTTTTAAATTTGTCACATTCATTTCTACCACCATTTCTGCAAGCTGTGACCGCCATTAAAGCTACTCAGTGCATGTGTTCTGCCTCAAGGCCCATTTGGATTCTTAAAGCATGGTAATGTTTGTATTCAGACTGCACAACAAAAAACGTCAATCACGACATATAGCAACTGCGTATATACTGGTTGCAATATACTGCAGTGTTAATGACTAGGTGTGTGCTCACCTGTCATTTTTCAGCTTGTTGAGGATTTCCCTAGCTAGTTTCCTTCTGGCTCTAACACCACCCTCAGGTCCAGGGGTTGAGGGAGTGGAAGAAGAAGAAGCGTCTGGGCCATTAGGTGGCAGAGGAGAGCTTCTGTTGGAACTCTGCTGCCTGTTACGAGGTCTCCACCACTGGTCCCGTAACACCACTCGCACCTGCATGGTAGGGTTGAATGATTCATCTTCAAGTTTCAGACTGCAGTTTTCAAATTGGAAGAGCTGTAATTTTAATTATATCTTAATAGAATTCTGATTATTAAAGCATTAAACATTGTTTGAGGAAGTTTTAAGTGGGGAAAACTTAATAATGCAGAGCTTGTGCACATTATATACATCACTGAAGTTTGAAAAATACTTGTTCTGGTCTTCTTGCTGAGAAAAATGGGCCAGGAGCTTCATTTATAGAAAGTAATCACATTCAAATTGCCATCGCAATATTGGTCAGAAAAATCACAATTAGATATTTTCCCCAAATTGTTTAGTCCTACTGCACAGTTAATGATACAAGTGACGATCAAGGGGTAGGAACTGCCAGGAACCTCACAGACGCTGCATTATTTCAATATCATTAATATTAGAATTTGCCCTAAAACATTTATGGACCTTATTCAACTGGGTACCAAAGCTGTCCTTTCAATACCAGGATTTCAGGAAGAGTGTTATTTCTTGTTTGAGTCACTATTTTGTCATGTTTTATTTTCTGTTTGGAGTTGTACTGGATCAACAAAGGCACAGTCCATAAAAAAACATTACTACATACAGCCCTGTTAAACAAATTATTTTAGTTTTGATATGCTAATTAATAGTTCTTTCTATTGCTTTTGTAAAAATAATAGCAATAACAGCATCATAAGCATAGTACCAGTAACAATAACAGCACAGAAACAACTACTATTACAGAACACTGACTGTGTGCTAACAGGAAGTTGATGGGGACATGAAGTGCCCTTTCAGATAGCCACCGTAGAGGAAACACTAGTATATTTGCCATCCATGCTTAATGGTCTGGGTGTTTTACCTGGAGTACCTAAGAACAAGTCAGGGTTTGTTAAAGGGGATCTATTATGCTTTTCTGGTTTTTCCCTTTCCTTTAGCGCAGGAGTCAGAAACCCAAATGTTAAGAACAGAAATTTTGTCTTGGGAGCCACAACATTTCATGTCCATTTTATTGAAGTAACGTTTCAACAACTTGGCTGCAAATATGTCTCAGTATGTGTATACAATTACAAAAACATCACAAGTGATACTGACATTGTGCAAAATATGGCTAAAAATGAAAGGAATTCACTGCCTTGGATGACTAACTGTTCTGTTGTTGAGGATGTTGGATTTCATGGCACATACCGTAGCCTGTACACTGTAAAAAATTTAGTAAACTTATTTAATGTAAAATGTTTTCATTTGTTGCCAGCTTTTTCCATTTCAGTTTCTATTTCAGCGCCTCACCTCTATCAACATATGGAAGCCTCAGTGTGCTTGTCTGAACTGAATACTTCTTATTATTGATTTGTTTCATCAGAGTAATAAAAGCCAGCTGAAGTGTGAAGCACATTCTTATGCCTAGTTTGTGACACAAAATAAAAATCTATGAAGTTTTGTAATTGTTAAATCATACTCTTTACATATCAGAGCAAACGTGACAACAGCATTAAGAAATTGCGACATTAAAGCAGAAGGCAGAAATAGATGATTTTGGCCTCAGACCAATCCTTGTGTGGTGTTAAGGTCTGTGGGTCTTCAATGTTTACAAAAAGAAAAAAATTATGTGATTTATTATTATGTCAACCTCAGATTCCTTGGCCTTTGCTCATTTTACACATGTGGTGTTTGGGTGAACCCACAGGGAATAAAAGTGTGGAGGTGCTGTGTCCCTTCACTGTGTTCTCCTCCTACATGGCCTGCTGTTAGTGTGTGTGTGTGTGTGTGTGTATATGTTTGTATATGTGTGAGTATGTGTAGGGGTGGACAACATGGACAGGCTGCTGACTGGCTACAGCTGGTAAAGGAGAACCCTACGCTGGACACTTGTGATATTTTAAACATCTGGTATTTTTACATAAATTGTTATGGCTGTATTGATTTAAAAAAACAATAATGTGGTGAGTCCACCAGAACACTGAGTAACAAAAACATCAACACCACACATGGGTTAAACTGACCTTTAAACTGCAGCCGTATTTCCATTTATTTATGCTGGCCATTCACTGCCAACCCTATACAGACACTTTCACTTGATCTCTGGCAGTGTAGCATGATCTCATCCCATCAACTGAATCTTATGCACAATATCTGTCCTTGAGCCACTATCAGCTGTCTCATTTAAAAATAATAAAGAGTCGTGAACTCTTTCATCTGAGCTGTATAAAAGTCATTATTTATTACACAGAGAATGGCTCACTCAGAGCAGATTCAGAAAGCTGGTTGTTACTGTACAGTGTAAAATCATCTAAGGCGTGTAATGTGTAATGTATGTTCATTTGTTCTTATCAATGTATCAGAGTTTTGATCTGCTCCTGTCTCTTGGTGTGTTTTTTTGTATGTGGAAGTCAATTTCCTCTGGAGAGAAATAAAGCTCTGTTCTGTAATTTCATATTCAGTCATGCACTGTATCTTCCCTGCATATCAGCGGGTGATGATGTTGCTGTTTATTTATTTTGTGTTTTGCTTCTGGCTGGTTGCACCTGTTAATGAGCAATGGTCTAGAATGATTATTTATATTTTATTTAACCCTCATTTCAATATGGAAGTCCCACTGAGACTAAAGTCTCTGAGAAGAAGCTCCATTTACAAACCACAAAACATGCATTCAGTTTCCCATTACCATTTCTAATGATTGCTGTGCTGTTTTTAATTAAAGTATTAGATTCTGTTGTGTTTTGCTCGGAACACACACAAACACAAACCCATATGCCACACAAAGTGGTCGTGTTTTTCATGTGGAGGGCCATAATTTATTCCGCATTATGCCACAATGTGCTTTTCTGAACATATCATGAATATAGTCAGTTCTGAAAGAACACTGACAAACTACATACGGAGCAGAATTAGACCTGTTTCATTTTATTTACTGCAGTAAGTAAAACAGTGAATACAAAGTATTGTATTAATAGTTTTTGGTAGTATTTTAAATGTAGCAGGACTGTCTGCAGACTGCAAGGCAGGGGCGGAACCGCTCTGGTGGCTGACCAATCAGAACAGAGTGGGTGAACTGACCAATCAGAGCACACTGGGCTCATCGGGAAGAAGGGCTTAAAGACGCAGGAGATCTAACAGAGCGGTTCAGACAGAGGGTGAATAGGAATGGACAGTATGAGAAAAATAATGTGTTTTTGGAACAATGAAGCCTGTAAATCAATTCTAGCAGACCCCAAAAATAAAATTATGAACATGAAAATGAATGTAATATGTCCCCTTTAATTTCAAATCAGGCTGTAGTGCAGTGTATCACATATCACTAAATATCTGTCATGCTTGCATATTACATAATCTGTTTATAAGCTTAGTGCACCCTAATAATCATGAATCCTGATAATTGCTCTGTTATCCACTTACACAGCAGCATGTGCGAGGATCTGACCTCTAACACCAGCAAATATAAATCATCCTAGAATTAGGTGCTGGAAGATGACTGATGGCAATCCCCATATGGAAATCTGACATTTGGCCATATGCACACATATCATGAAGCATCAGACTTGTGTACACACACACACACACACAAACACACACACACACACACACACCACACACACACATATATATATATATATATATATATATATATATATATATATATATAGTATCAAATATTGAACATATATGCATATCACTGTTGTCGGGACAAAACTTTGTATTTGTCCCTCCAATTTTGACATTTTTCAGTTTTTTCAGTTCATCTGGGTTCACTGACTTACATTAACCGTAAAGAAGGTTCTTTCCTTCTCCTGTAAAGTTACCATTTTGGAGACAAGGTTTTGTTCTGACAACAGCAGACATATGGATTGTACTTATTTATGTCTAATATGTTGGTAAACACATATGCACGATGTATGGATCATATATATATATATATATATATATATATATATATATATATATATATATATATATATATATATACTGTCTCTGTGTCTGATACATATATCCAATACAAACAGTAAAAGATTTTTCAAAACAAAAAATCAAAATTAAATACACCAGCAACAAATATGCAATAAAAAATATTATATATCATGCAGCTAGCAAGCCATCCATACAGGAATAATGTTTTCTATCATATATTGTTGCATGTATGCACTACACAAATATGTTTATATATGTTGATATATGGCTGAAATATATGTCCCATGTTTGTCCCAAATAAGTTGGCATATTTGTCACTAAAGTATCCATATGTGACTAATATAAGCTGGATTTAAGGGAAATCCATATTTCGCTGGTGTCGGAACAAAACCTTTTATCTCCAAAATGGTAACTTTACAGGAGAAGGAAAAAACCTACTGCACTTTTAATGTAAGTCAATGGAACCAGACTTTTTTCAGAGTCATTTTGGGCCATTTCTTTTGGTCCATTCATCATGAAATTTTGACACAATGTAAAGGACAACAGGCATTTTCAAACTATGTCAAAAACTGAAAAACGATGAGCTGAAAAACGAGCTGAAAAAATGCAATAATGAAATCTACATATTGCTATGCTTCAGATTTCTGTATGGATCACCTTATAATTTCCAAAATTATGCAGATAAGAGTAATGAATATTGAAATTCTGAAATTTAAAAATTATAAATTAAATTAATAAATACAGTGAGTAGAAGATATAGAGCCTTTTCTTTTAACCATAGTGAGTAGGAGTCAAAAGGTCTGAGGTAAAGGAAGAAAGAAACTGAAGTTGTACTTATTTCCCATCTCTTCGAACAACTAATCAGACAGAAATAACAGAGGGAAGATTTCTCACATTCCTGCTGAGGTAAACCCGTCCATTCCTGCTGACCCGAGCTTTGCTGTCCTGTCTGAGCGCATAGAGGACTGAGGAGAATCTGGGATCTTTGATACCATCCCTGTGAGGACGAATTGAAATGTTATAGCTCTCAGTAGGCTAGTCCTGTTCAGCTAAAGCGGCACTTACAGACAACCTATACGGCCTGTTCGGGCTAATTAGACGATCCATCAAAACAACAGCCAGCCATGGCGGCTCTCACCTCTCTCTGAGTTTGAACTCGCTGTTGTAGATTTCCTGAATTTGAGCCCTGTCGGTGATGCCAATCCTCTTCGTCTCATGCAGAAATTCTATAAAGTCAAGGCCAACTGAGTGGATGTGAGCTGGAAGTCGCGTATTTCTGTTTTTCCTACTCATTTTGTGAAGTTATGGACTACTACTGCTGGACGGACTGCTAACGCGGATGTGATCTGGTTAACAGACTTGGCATGCAAACGTCTATTCCTCAGAAGACCAGACTCTAACGGTGAAACGAAACCTAAGGCTCAGCTCTGAAGATGAGACAAATTCTCAGGAGAAACTGAAACAAAACAGGAATTCACACAAGTTTAATGCAGTAAGAAAACATACTGAGCCATAAATGTTGAGTTTTGATGGTTTTATCCAACCTGAGAAGTTTCAGGGTGATAGTACAGGTGCGGAATAAAGCGAAAGGTGGAAAAAGCGCCACCTGGTGCCCACAGGCGGTAGTCCGTTAGAGCAAAAAACAAAGATGGCGAATGAATTAATACACGCACTCACTGTATACACTGACCGGCCGCTTCATTAAGTGCACCTCCTTGTTTCTACAATCATTGTCCATTTTATCAGCTCCTTAAAATATAGATGCAGTTTGTAGTTCTACAATTACAGACTGTAGTCCATCTGTTTCTCTACATACTTTGTTAGCCCCCTTTCACCATGTTCTTCAATGGTCGGGACCCCCACAGAGCAGGTATTATTTGAGTGACGTTCTCTGCACTGCAGGGTCTCTGACGTGGTGGAGTCGTGTGTGTTGTGCTGGTAAGAGTGGATGAAAATAATAGAACTACAAAGTGCAACTATATGGTAAGTGAAGCTGATAAAATGGACAAGAAGTGTACAAACAAGGAGGTGGTTTTCATGTTATGACTTATCGGTGTCCAGTCCAGTCCATCTATTTTAGTTATTCTCAGTCGCTATAGTGTCATTGCTCTCAAAACAACTCAGCAATCAGGGCAGGCTGATTTCATTTTGCCAAACAAATTTGTGTCTTTATTGTAAGAAAAATATTCTTTTTATTATTCATTATTTAATTATGCAATATATAATAGTTAATACTTTTACAACAGTCAAAATTATTACATATTTCCATATAGCTGTATGTTCCTCTAAAACGGTAGCAGAAGACAAAACAAAACAAAAAAAAATACATATGGCCATGTCTATGACAGTGTGTTCCTCTGAGAGAAGCTGTACATCCAATGATGGCTCTCTCTGTTGCATTGTTCAAGGGGAATTGCTCAAAAACATTACATCTTGCCTGATGTAAAAAACGTAAAAACACAACATATCAGTTGGCAACTATGGGCCTCATTCACCAAATGTTCTTAAGAAGAAATTTCTTCTTAAAACCCACTTATGCAGTTTTTAAGATTCTGACATTCACCAGTATTTTCTTATTTGGGATTTGTTCTACAGTAAGAACAGAATCTACACACACTCACCATCACAAAGGTACGAACAATTTAACAGATTAAGAGCACGTCATGAATCTGACGTAAACGTTTTTATATTGGTGAATGAGGCCGAATGGTATAAAATCTAACAAGGAATTCAGTCATTCAAAGACTGTTAATTTAGGTAGATGCCCTGAGATAAAACAATTCATATAATACTCTTGTGTCCCCAGGACCTAGGGTCAGAGAATTGCAGTTACAGGGCAGAGGTAGGTCCACCAGAACTCCACAAAACATAAGGGGTGAGGTGAAGTAGACACGAGAGAAGAAGAACATCACTGTTCGTTCCTCCACTCAGGGTTGATGTATTGCTGGACAGCACTCTCCTCGGTGTCTGCTAGAGGTTGTGAGAGAGACAGAGAAATGACATGATACACTTTTAAGAATAGGATCTTTCAAATTTTAAAAGAAAAAAAAGCTGTGATGTGGCAAACTGATGCTCCACCAGACACTAACTGGACTGCTACCTCTCTCACAGCTCCTTACAAATGCATAGAGATCCAAAATGACATGTTTTTCTCTCTTGGTAACACATTCTTGTCTCCATTTTAAGTGCCGCTCCATTACTGCATTAGCTCAACTAAGTGTGTAAAAAAAACAGTTTGTATTTGAAAACCAGCCCAACAGTCTACAAGCCCAGATGTGATTTGAAGCTGAAAGAAAACCGGTAAGAAAATGATACTGGAGTTGCAAATCAAGTCACTTGACAATTGATGTAACCCCACTATGGCTATGCTGCAGCCCAGATGTTCACTAATTAGCAAGTGTTTCCCAAAACACTTCTTAACTGAAGAACTATGTAAACTAACAACTAACATTACCTATTTGTAATTGCTAAGTGCTTATTTATGTGTGTTCTATGTGCAAAAACTATATGTATATGACAGTAAAATTATATATTGTTTTGTAACCTATAGTTCATGCAATGATGAGATTAATAATAACAATAATAATAATAATAATAATAATAATAATACAATCATTGATGTTAATAATATTAAAGAATGTATTAATAACAACAGCTAGAAAATGCATACATAATTTTAAAGTATGCCCCTCTCCCTTCTGTTTTTCTCTGTTGTGCTATAAAACTTGATGTGGTTTAACCTTGCAGTAAATGAACACTGTTTTAAGCGGGACGTTCTTCAGATTTATTAGTTTCAAATTACAAAACCCTTCGGGAAACATTTGCCGAATTTACTTATTTTTTCCTCACGTCCTTTTTACTTTGTTCTTTATTTGCTATGACTAACACCACTGAATCAAAACAAATTAAGTCGGTACTTGTTTAAGTCTCCTGTTCTTGAATCGAATAGGAAACTACTGAGATGCGTATTGTATCTTCTGAGATTCAGCAGATTTACACCACTAAGCTCAGCATTTGTGTTACATATGCCACGCATTTCCGAGTTGTGAGATGAAGCTGGTGAGTGAATGTTAAAGCCAGCATCGAAATGGAGAATCATAAAGGAGCTGTTTAGAGTGAAAGGAAGGCTGTAAGAGTTTTCTCTTACCAGCACAGTACTCACCTTCAGCCTCCATTTGGATCCTAAGGGCTGCTAGCCGTTCTATTACCGCCTCTGTGCCTTCTACAATGCCACGATCCAAACCAATGTAGCCTCCCTCATCAGTACAGTACTGAATAAACCTAAATACATATAGACACATATAAACACGTACACATGCTAACACCGAAATACAATTGCAAACATGAGTGACCTCGTGGTTTGGAGATTTCGCAAATCAATGGTGGCAGATCATTGTGTGTACCTGGACCAGGTGGGATCACTGCTGAGAATGATGGGGTTTCCCACCACGATGAGCAAGGACTTGGCTCGGGTCATAGCAACATTGAATCTCTGCAGAGACAAAAAGAGAGGATAATAGCATGCATGTTAAATACGGCCTGACCGATATGGAAAGTTTGAGGTCAATACAGATACAGTGCTAAAATTCTGATAACCCATAATATCAGCTACTATAATTTTTTGTATTTATATTTTACTTTACTGCAGTAGTTTTAGTTAAACAGTACTTTACTGACAAATATGATTGGTAGTTCTCAATTGTCAGACTTCTTAAACTCAAATAAGCAACAGACACTTGCAGTCCTAAATAATATATTATTAGTATTATTAGCTGCATTACAAAGGCTAGGCTGCGGTCCAGGTGGGCTGGATTTCTTGACCACTACATCACCGATGGCTGTTCCAATCAGAAGAATCCTTCAAATGCAATCCAATACATTTCTTTAGCTGTGTATCTATTTAAGCAGGTGTGAATTGAATGCAGGGTGTGAAAAATAGTTTTTAGTTTGCAGAACAGCATTTAATTATGAATTAATGTTTTATCTGCCAAGTTACGTCATTCACATTAATGTGATAAAGCAGCCTTGGTAGACTGTTACAATTTTGCATTGTGTTATACAAAGAAGGAAACTTCATAGACAATGCTATTGAGGACCCTCCTATTTCAGCTGCAGCCTAGCTGTTGGAACACAACTATTGTAGTAATGGGGGTCCAGAATTCTTTGTCATTTTGTTTTCAATTAATAACCTCTTTTTTTAACAACACTAATGTTTCTAAATTGCTCAAATGTTTCTAGCTTTATAGAGTTTATCTGCTGTGTGAAACCAGAGGTAGGCAATAACTAGTTACATTTATTTGGTTATATGCACTCAAATTAATTGTTTTAGTTTTTTTTTCTCAACGTGCCTGCTGAAATCAAAATCTGTCAACAAATCAATCTATTTTAATCAGTTATTAATAGGGAAAATATAGTATAATGTAGTGTTAGTTCTGGCTAACTTTACAGGAAAAGAAAAAAAATCATTCTTAATATTTAATGTAAAGACATTTTTGCAAGGCATTTTTGAGCATTTTTCTTGATCCATTCATGTTGAAGTTTTTCCACAATGTTAAGACAGTTGGCGTTTTAAACTATTTAAAAATGAATAAGTTTTGTTCTGACAGTGATGATATGCAAGTTTTACTTTTATAAAACCAACTAACTTATCTTATTCTTTTAGTGGTGATCACAGAATATACACTCCTGGTCAAAAGAAAATTAGCAAAACATTTAGCTTTTGTCTTAACAACAGATTATTAAACAAGTAGATAAAGTAACTTAATATATGATAACTTTTCCCTTTGATTTCTTTAAATGTTGAATGTTTGTGTTTACAGAAAGAAGAATCAATATTTTTCCATCATCAGCATTGATGGCTTCAAACAGTTGAAAAACACTGCCAAGCTAATTTGTGTTCAATGTGAGACCAGATATTCTCTACAGGGTTTAAATCTGGACTATGACCAGGTCAAAACAATCAGTAAAAAACATATTTTGGGCTTGGCCAATTTTTTTGCCCAAAAGTGTATAATAAGAAACATTTGAAGTCTTTCTTTTTAACATCATGACTCAATTTGTATTGTGTAACTTCAGTGACTGGGGAAGTGAGTGTGCGTTCTTGAGCAAGCACACTTCTCCAGACGAAGAAAAAGGTGACCTTCCTCCTTGGACATGAAGAATGCAAGAAACTGGCCAGATGCCCGTCAGCATTGGTTTTTCAAGGCAACAACATTTAGTTGCGAATACCTTCTTGTATTTAATTTCATTATGTATCGTTTTTGTTACATTGGTGACAGCATCTGTATTACGACAAATAAACTAAAACGACACTAAAATGACCTTTGATGTTCATCATTTTATTTTGGACCGAAAGAAAAAAGGAGAGGCAGAAAGCAGACTTCAGTTCCAGTGCTGAAAGATGGTCTAGAGGTGTCAAACTCTAGAGGCAGTAAACCTTATAGTCACTGCTTACAAATTATATAAATTTCACTGATACTCCTATAGGTCTGTTTGTACTACTACAATCATTAGCAACAACAGCAATGTATCCAGTTTTTATTTTTTTTACTGCAATATATTCCTCAGGTAATCACACTAATTACTTCTTACAAAAATCAGCTGACAGAATAAACACTATAGACACTATAACATCATCTGCATAGTGAGACTGAGGAGC